CCCCCCCCCCAAGCTATAACCGCTCACTGTAGACAATCCGAAATTCCTGACCAAACAGTGAGATGATAATAAATGTTTATTGTTGGTTTAGGCTGCTGAATTTTATAGTAATTTGTTACATCTTAATAGATAACTAATACAAATGTTTAATTAGAAGTATGTTTCTTTAATACTCAAAAAAAAACTCCTTACATTTTTGTAGTGGATGTATTTTAAACAAGTAATAATTACTGTACAAGTTTTTTTTAATTATTATTTAAAGTCCTTTGAAATTGAATGGTTACTTGATTTTTTTCTGTTATCGGGTATATTTTTTCATGGGTTATAACATATATTGTTTCTGCAGGACCATAACAAGCTTAGCTTTCTGCTATGAACTATAGATTTGGCTAAAAGCCACTAGCTTTGATAAAAATACAGTATTAAAAAGTGCTCAATCCAAAAGAAAGCAGGAGAAAAGAGGAGATGAGACAAATAGAAAAAATGTAGCAAAGTGACGGACTTGAACACAACTATGTTGTTAATTGTATGTCAGTGGACACAGCAAAGTAAAAGGAAGGACTGGTGTCTAGCAGCAGGAGGGCAGGCCAATGAATTGTGGACCCAGAGGGTAAAACATGGCTCAGGAAACAGACTTGGACTGTTGGTGGGTCAGCAGCACAGAGTAATCCCAGAAGCTAATTATGCTGAGCAAAAGCAGCCAGACAGAAGGCGTGAATGAGCTAGAGAATGTGAAGTTGTTGAATAGTCAAAACCAATGTGGAGTGAAAGCAGATTGATGTCTGCACACGGTAGGGGCTAGGAGGGTAACTCTTGAGTGGTAGGGAGATACTGTATCTTGAGTGGAGTTTATCAGAGTGTATCCTGTTGTCAAAACTAATCCAACTGTCCTGTTTAAATGAGTGCCTGTAACTATATTTGAGATACATGTAAACCATACACAATCAGTGAAGTGGGGGGGTAACGGTTAAGCTGGGTAGTGGAAAACAACCAGAAAGTTAACCAAAAATCCTCAACGTTTTTATTGTAACTATTAGCAGCTCAAGAAAAAGGTGTATCAGGAAAATCCCAATACACCCAACTTGTAAGTCGGGGGTTATTGGAAAAATGTAGTTTTTAAAAATTTTGGTGGACTTCTAAGGAAATGAGAAACCTCACAAAATGCCAAAGCATATGGAAACGAAAGACCACAGATGTTTGGGCAGCAATCTGCAAGGAATTTGAAATCGCAAACAAGTTGTTTATAGACATCAAAGGAGGAAGCTGGTGGCAGGTCATCCATAAGAGTGTGTGATGACCATGCTGCTGAAGGGTCTGCTCAAATGGTGACAGTTGATGATAACTTATATCAAGTTATTAGTCTCCCACAATCGTGGGATGGTGGCTCAATTTATAAGAAAAGCAAGATTAAAAATATAGTAAGGATTGGTTCAGTGAAATTCTCACGTGCCACGCGGGAGGCCCGGGTTCGATTCCTGGCCAGTGCAACTTGGTATGCCTGGCCGGCGTGGCTCAGCGGTTGAGCATCGACCCAGGATCCAGGAGATCGTGGTTCAATTCCTGGTCAGGGCACATGCCTGGGTTGTGGGCTTGGTCCCCAGTAGGGGGTGTGCAGGAGGCAGCTGATCAATGACTCTCATCATTGATGTTTCTTTCTCTCCCTCTTCCTTCCTCTCTCTGAAATCAATGAAGATACATTTAACCTTTAAAAGACGGCATTTAAAAGACAGCATCATACAAACTCCATATATTTTCCAGGATCAACTGTACAAATAGTGGTTTCTTTCCTTTTGCCTGTAAAAAAGAACGTATATGCTTAGGTTTCGGAGTATTTAACCTTTAAAAGATGGCATTTAAGTTCCGTCAGCATTTAAATTCGGCCAGCGAGACCCACTCCTTGCCCGGAACTAAAGTTCCCTTTCTTCGGATAAAGGTTAAAATATACATGTATGTATAGTTTATTGCCAAATATGTTACCTGGTAGAAAGTCAATAGGATGCTCAGTGTGACCAAATTCACAAGAGCATTAGAGTGAAACTGAGGAAACAAAACGCTTTAAGCAAATATGCCGATGTAACTGTAGGTTCAGGAGTTCTGCACGTGACAGGAGTTGTTTGGGCAGAAAAGCTGACCACTTACACTGAGGCCTTCAGGAAAGGCTGGTGTTACAAGTGGAGGAAACAGTTTCTTGTGTTGATTAGAATCAAAAGTAAATGTGAATAAAAACTCCCCCAGGCTAGGAAGCACTTTATTTCCTGGCATTCCCAACTTGGCCTAAGTGTTTGTTTGTTTGTTTGCTTGTTTTTTAGCCCAGGTTTGGAAAGGAAAACCTCAGCCCTGGCTGAGTGGTGCACAGTTGGTTGGCGTGTCATCCTGTGTACCAAAAGGTGGCTGGTTTGATTCCAGGTCACGTCACATGCCTAGGTTGCAGATTCAGGCATTAGTTGGGCACGTATGGGAGGCAGCCAGTCAATGTTTCTCTCTCTCTTTCCCTTCCTCTCTCTAAAATCAGTAAAGACATCCTCCAGTGAGGATTAAAAAATAAATAGAGCCTCAGATTAAAATCTGAAGCCTCTGACTGTTCGCCTGATGGGATCGAAGTTGTATTGTAAAAGCAAGCCCCACTTTTCTCACCATTGCATATTTTTCATGTTGTGGCGCCACCTTGTGCCTGATGCTGTGTATTTCCTTCTAATGGGTGCAAACGAGCCATTTTATAAATTTTGAAGACCACCACGCCAACCAGTCTTTTGCTGTCACTATTATTACAGGTTAACTAAATTAAGATTGTGGACTTCATATGTTTTGTGTAGAAGTTTTGGACAGTGATGCGTTTACACTGGTCCAAATCTCTTGTGTGTTTTCCCCATTTAAAGGCACCTATTTGAGAAACTACCCCCTAGAGGAGAGAGATTAGTGATAGTGGAACAGAGCAGAGCTACGCACTCTCAGAATTCAGCTCAAGGACAGCATCATGTTCTGAGTTAGTAGATTATTTATAGATGTTACCCCAAAGCTATCCCAAGTGAAATAATCACACCCTTAAAATTAAGATTCAGAATTTAGAATCAGCCACCAGGGTTTTAGGACTGCCTTTTTAAAAGAGGCTGATTCTGCTCTGACACTTTTTCTCAGATGTCTTCATGATAGTCCCCTTTCCACTGTCACAGGTCAGCTAGTGATAGTGACTTTGTTGTCTGCCCCACTGGACTGCAAAGTTCCACAGAGCAGGGACTTTCTGTCCTGTTTGCTGTTGTGTCCCAGCACCCAGACCTGTGCCAGGGACTCAGAAAGGACTTAGCACATGTTGGTCAGACCCCCTTCAGGTGTGTAAAGATGTAGGGGATTGCTGGAAAGTTCATTGCAAGGACAGCTGGATGGCGGTACACATTTGGTCACATTTATTCTCCTGTACCGGGACATGTTCTACACGTGAGTCTGGTTTTGCCCTTTTGATATTCCTTTGCATCTGCAAAAATAGGAGTGTAATTAAAGTGCAGTCCTAATTTACATGTTTGCACATTTCACATTCACTCTTTTGTTCCTGATTGTCTCACCAACAGTGATTTTTAAAACGTGGGTGCTCCTTCCACATGTCCTGCGGGACTCGGCAGGGGAGGTTCAAACCCAGGTGCCTAGGAGACAGCCAGGCACCGAGTCCCAAAGCACTTCCCATGCACAGTTATGCCCTAGGTGATAACCTACTGCAAAGTGGTGGAATCTGTTCATGCTTCCTTCAGATACAGATTTAATTTTTGGTATTTTGCATCTCTTTGAAGTTAAATTTAAAATATTCAGAATACGTAGTTGAAGGAGATTCTTAACTCATAAAATACTGTAGTGAATACATGTTGCCCAAATTGGTCACGTTATACTCAGCAGTGTGAAGAGGGAAGTTGCCGGACATAGGCAGTTGCCAGTATTGGGACACAGAGGTGTTTAAAACAGGAAGTGGGGAGGGGGAATTGCAGAAGGTAAAGTACACAGGGTCTCGGGGTTTCCTGTTTCCCATTCCCACAGCTTGGGAGGTGCATGCTCTCGACATTGGTCAGGAGATGTGTTCGGTTTTCTGAAAATGTGATACATTAAATGATTGGCAAACTCATGATTGAAAACCTACTTTGCATTCTACTTATCAAACAGGGACCCCTCCAAAGTCCATTCTACACATTTGTGAAGAGATGAAATCATATTTCTGATCTTACTGTGTATGAATTTTGGAGCCCTACAAACTGAATTTACATTGAGGCCCTGCTCTGGGTGGGTGACTGGCCTGTGAGCACCCATCTCCCCATCAGTGAATTGGGAGAGTTGTACCAAATTTGTGGTGATCGTACGGAATCCAGAGAACGGTGGACACTTAGCCCAGTGCCAGGCCTAGCATAAACCCTTGGCAGACAGTCATCCAGATAACGTGACAGTGTCATTCTGATAATATGACAATGTCCTTTTTATTTAAAGGTGAATCGGGTCTAGGGAAATCGACTCTCATAAACAGCCTGTTCCTGACGGATCTCTACCCAGAAAGAATCATACCTGGAGCTGCAGGTATAAAAGTTCCTACACTCTCATAAGTGTAGCTTGACATGAACGTTGCTAAAGAGTGCATGATTAATGTTTGATGCCTGACCCTTGAGTAGTTTTTGCTTTTGTTCTGATGTAAATCCAAGGAAGACGACATTTAGGTAGGGAAAGGGATGTTGCACCTATGTCCTTGGGTTCAGGTTGTAGGCTGAGTGCATATCTGTGGATCCTTCCTCCGAGTTTTTTGTCTGTAGTGTGTCATAAATAGTTCCTGCCTGTGTTTTGTGTATGATGGGAGGACCAAGTGACAGCCTTACCTCTTGTGGGAAAGCTGTGTGACCATAGGTGACTGGAGGCGGGGTGAGGGGTCTGAGTGTTCCATCGCAGGACACCATTGTCCGTAAATGCTGGTTGAGTGAATTGACTGTTCACAGAGCTTAGGGCCTGGGCTGCCACAACAAAGACATATAGCCCTGTCACAGGCATTTTTTTATTCAGCTTTTAAAGGAATTCATAAATTGTTTTTTTTGTCCCAGGAAAATATAATTTCCTTATTGGTATTTTTACCTTCCCAGGCAGTCCTTTAGTCTTAGCTTCAACATTTCCCTTGTTGGTTCTGGGATAATTTGTACATAATCCTCATGTTACTTTCTGAAAACCTTCCTCACAGAGAAGTAGTGACTTTCAAGTCACTTGTTTGATGATAATAAGAAAGTAACTAACAGGTCATTTATTTTTGCAAACCAGCTCGATGTTAAGGCATGTACTCTTACTGAGTTTCTTTTTTAGAGAAAATTGAAAGAACAGTCCAAATCGAGGCTTCAACTGTTGAAATTGAAGAGCGAGGGGTCAAGCTGCGCCTGACAGTGGTGGACACACCCGGCTATGGTGATGCCATCAACTGCAGGGACTGGTAGGCACCCTGTAGGGACGACACCAGAAGTGCTGAGGGCTGTGCATGTGTTCACACCTGTTCTGCTGTATTTAAATGTGTGGTGTTGAAGAGTGATTATTGGGTGTGGAGTAGCTGGATAAGGTAAAATAATGGAACGGTTTAAGGCACATTAATTATGACATTTAAAATAAGGAATTTCACAGAGAATACGTGTTTTCCTCTAAGAACATCCTAGTGAGATTTGAGATGGCATAGTCAACCCTCTGTCTTGATTTGAGTCTCAGCCAGTGGACGTGATATTGGGGTCCAGTGTTCCTCTCCATATTTGAGGAAATTGAACCTCTCAGTCACTCAAGACCTAGTGCCTGAGAATGGCTGCTCACTGGCATTTGCTCAAACAGGGAAATGCACACGTAGATGAGAGACTTCCTAGGACCCTGCCGAGAATCCCAGCTCATGTACAGAGACCCCAGTCCTTCCCGGGAGCAGGAAGCACCAGTGCCCAGCAATAGATAGGTAGGGTGGGGGAGGCCTCTCTCCTTCCTCGGGAGCTGCCCTCTTGCAGGTAAACCTTGGCGTCTGGGCTGCGCTGCTGCCCGTCTCCACCACCTGCTCTCGCCTGTGTTCTGCTGCTGCCAACATGCCCTTGGACGCATTGGCAGCCCAGGCTCTCCACTCAGTCATCACAGGCTCTTGTGACCTCTTCCATTCTGACTTTACCCCCGACCCTTAGCGCTGGCACAGTTTCCAGAGATCTCCATTTTGCCAAAAGGTTGAACCAGTTCCCACTTCTGTCTTATAGATGAGTTACAGAATTCTATTTGGTAGGTAAGGCACAGGGGAAAGGAAACTTGTTTTGTCTCTGAAGTTAGGGCTGGCCTGCCTGCCTTTTGTACCCATGATCCTCGTGTGTGTGTCTCAGCTTCAAGACCATCATCTCCTACATTGACGAACAGTTCGAGCGGTACCTGCATGATGAGAGCGGCCTGAACCGACGTCACATTGTGGACAACAGGGTGCACTGCTGCTTCTACTTCATCTCGCCCTTTGGACACGGATTGAAGCCCTTAGATGTCGCGTTTATGAAGGCGATACACAACAAGGTCAATATCGTGCCTGTCATTGCGAAAGCAGACACTCTCACTCTGAAGGAGCGGGAGCGCTTGAAGAAAAGGGTGAGTGACGGGGAGCCCTGTAACAGAGTGAGATGGAGGGGTGGGGTGGCTTTAACCAACACCTTACACTGTAACTTTTTAGTATTTTGTCTTCACAGCAGTATCAAATTACTACTGTTTCTCAAAACTCATCTTAGGTGCACATCCCTCCAGTGTTTAAAAGGTGGCTGGCATGCAGCTGCCCCACCATTCTCTGGGTAACAGTGTGAACGGGGGTCGTCTCCCTGTTGCTCTTTGTTCCATCTAAACACTCCACCCCCCACACTCACCTGGGAACGTGTACTAATGCTCACAGTCTGGTGTCAGAAGGCCTGAGGGGCTTGCCTTTGGCTCTAGAGGTTGCCAGAAGTGGTTAGTCCCCCTGCCTTTGTGCTTCCCGCCTCCCAGCAGCCCCTGCGCTGACCGTGGTCCCTGTTCTCCCATTGAGCTTCACTTCCCTGTTTTAAATTACACACCTATTTGTATGCTTATTGAGAAAGTCCAAGCTCATACGCCATATTCTACAAATAAGAGTTCCTTTAATTATCCACAGAAACCACCACTGTTAACAGGTATCTGTCCTTCCAAAACATGGTCTCTTTATGTGTTTGTTTTTACAGAATAGGATTATGTCGTACGTGTGACTTTGCCACGTGACTTTCTAAGAACTCCCCCCACACAGACAGCATGCCCCTCGCCCTTATCTCGGCATGCACATTGTTTCTTCAGGGTGTTTCTGGGTCTTCCCACCCACCCCTTGGTCCCTGACAGTGGGAATCTTTGCTTGCTTATGATTTCCAAGAGTTTGAAACAGGACCTGGCATGCGGTAGGCACTCAGAAGAGTGTATGTGGTGAACTGGGGTCCACCTATCGTCTGTCAGTTGTAAAGGCAAGTTCTCAGAAAGGAAATTGATGCATATTTAAATACTTAAAAGATGGCTAAATTTCCCTCAAAACAGACTTGCTCCAGAAGCAGCCAGTGAGCATGTTGTCTCCGCAGCACTCCTGGTGTGCCACCAGTTTTTGTCACGTGTTTCGTCCGGGTTGCTGGTGCGGGGTTGGTCCCCATGCTCCATGCCCTCGGCTGCATTCTCTTAGGTTTCAGAGCCTCACCTCTCTTTTCATTGACTTACTCTTGTTTTTAAGTGGTAACTCTTATGTCACCGTCTTACTTGCATGTTCACATTTTTCAGGCTGTCTTTTCTGTAGCAGAGTTTCTGAATTGTATGTACTCACATTTTTCAGCTGTTTCCTTTACCGTCTCAGGTGACCACCAGTCTTTTAGGAAATATTCGGGCCCTTGGAGGATCCCCTGAAAGCTTCAGTATTTTTATGCTAGTCAGCATTTTAGCAATTCCTGCTTAAGGGAACTTCACCTTCAGTAGGTGTTACATTCATTTCAGAGGCAGGGGAGGGGGTGTCTGGGTAGCATGCTCTATATCTATCCTATATCCAGACACTTAGGGCTGGTTTCAAACTCTGAAATGAATTTAAATATTTTGAACGCTGATCTCTTTTATCTTGGGCCTTGTCTCGCCCTGCTTCTTATCTGGTTTCTTCCAGGTGTGTTCCTCCTTGACCTAAAGGAACCTCATGCTCTCCCGCTCTCCTTGCTCTATGGTCCGGCTTCCTCTCCTTAATCCTTTTAACTTGCCCTCACCTGTCCTGCCACAGACAGTGTGTTCATTGGACAGTCTCTGGTCATGCGAGGCCAAAAGTCACCTTAAGAACAAATTCAGCCCTGGCCAGTTTGGCTCAGTGCTTCAGTCCTCGGGTTCAATTCCTGGTCAAGGCCATGGACCTGGGTTGCAGGTTCAGTCCGTGGCCTGTGTCAGGGTGCATACGGGAGGCAACTATTCCATGTGTCTGTCTCACATCGATGTCCCCCAGCCACCCCCCCAAAAAATCAGTGGAAAAAGTATATATCCTCTGGTGAGGATTAACCAAAAACACACAACCGGTCCGGGAGCAGTGGGTGTTCCCTGTTGGCTTGGCTCACGCTCTCTCTTCCCTTGGGTTGTCAGCATAAGAAGCGTCCAAACTGTAGAGTTAGGCTTGACTGAAGTCTGTGTGGTTGGCTAGCATTGCTCCTGGCTTTGCCTCAGATTCTGGATGAAATCGAAGAGCATAACATCAAGATCTACCACCTGCCCGACGCAGAGTCTGATGAGGACGAGGATTTCAAAGAGCAGACCCGGCTCCTCAAGGTGAGCCCCAGGTGCAGGCACTGCCCTGCCCCTGCTGCCGCCCTCAGACGGAGACCAGCATAGGCCTGTCCTGGAGCCTTGACTGAGAAATTGTCTGGGTAGGCTTGCTTTAAGTGTATGGTGACCCAGCTGGCTCTGTAAGGCTTAGAAGTCTTAATTGCAAGTTGATTTGTTTTCCTACAGTTGGTCCCGTGTGGAATATGTCTTCCACTTCCAAGTACAGCATGCACCATTTAGCTTTCCAAGTAACCCTGGGGTAGTAGCCAGGTGTCTCCTCTTTGCTGCTCCCGTGTTCTCAGTGAGTGTGGGGATCCCTGTGTGGAGCTGGTCAAACCTTGGGTCTCTTTCTAGGCCAGTATCCCGTTCTCTGTGGTTGGGTCCAATCAGCTGATTGAAGCCAAAGGCAAGAAGGTCCGCGGCCGCTTGTATCCGTGGGGTGTCGTGGAGGTGGAGAACCCAGAACACAACGACTTTCTGAAGCTGAGGACAATGCTCATGTAAGATGCCCGTGCGCTCCCCTTGGCAGAGCCCAGCACAAAGAGCGTGGGTGTGCACAGGGCCTGCACTGTGCCTGCAGTGGTGCTGCCACAGCATGATGCAGAAGGCCCCCACCAGCGGGCCCTCTGGAATGATCTGAACAGCTCCACCTGTGACCTGTAGCTCAGTACACTCTCCCTCACTGATCCTAGTGCCTCATTTGAGGCTAAAAGTAGACTAGATTTAAACTGAGGTGGCCACACCCAGCATGGGTTGCCTCCTGCTCCAGGGAGGACCTTGTTGGATCTGCCTTGGGAGCCACCTGGGATGCCCTGCCACTGCCACTGCCGGTCAGCCTCAGGTGCTCTCAGGGTCACCCCACTCTAGCGTGGAGATTCCTCGATTGAGTTCTAGCAGCCAGAATAGCCCTTACCACAAAAACAGTGTTTCCTCTAAAAATAGATTCTACATTTATACATGTAATGCTGTTGCCCCTGAATGCAGAGGTTAAAAGAAAGAGCACTGCTAAAATCTGATCCCTCTTCAATGGGAAGAGTTCAAACAGTGGCTGATATAGATACACTGAGCAACCAGAAATTGCTCTACATGCCACGTGTGTCTCACTTGGTTTTAGCAATTTTAGTGAATTAAAGTCACTAAAAATTCCACTTAATTTACCATTCAAGGTCTATTAAGCGTAGTGCAATCCCCATGTAAGACATTTAAAGTACACTCAGCCCCCTCAGGGATGCATTCGTGGCTGTCATGATCCTGTCAGGTGGAGGCTGAAGGGGTCACTTTAGCGTCAGTTGCATGTTTCTGAGAATGAGGGAAAGCCGGCTACTCTTTTGCCATCACTCAGTCCGTTCCCTGGATCCTGAGTGACAGGCATGTCATATTTCTGCTCCTTGAGTGCTTACATATTGTAAAAACTCGGCCCAAAACCCAGGAATGTTTTATACAGTGATTACAAGATTCCAAGTTCTGTTTCTTCAATGTTCACCCTTCATTTTGTGCTTCTCTCCATAGCTTAAGCTAATTAACTCTCTGGTATATAAATTTTAAGCTTAAGTCCTGAATACTTGAATTGCATGCTTTCTAGAAGTACTTGCAGAAAAGTGTGTTTTGTTTCAGACACTGTTTATCTAAAAATCTCCTAGTGTCTCTGTGCATCTGGCCCGGTCCAGGGATGATGGTCTCGTGCAGAGTTTGCCCGTGCCTGTGGAAGAGGCCCTGTGGTGGGACTCTTAACCTGGCCCTGCTGGGTGGGTGTCCTTCGCATTTACTATGGTAGCAAGGAGATACACCTCTGTAGACACTTCCATAGCTTTATCCCCAAATTCCATCAACTTTGTGCTCAATTTACCAGGTAATAAGTGGGGTTTTAGTCCCAGGGGTTCTTTCGTGTCCGTGATTGGTGGTTTTCTCCATGGAAATGGCACGTGCGTGGAGCCCAGCTTGGTGTGTTCTTTTCTTTTCCAGCACTCATATGCAGGACCTCCAGGAGGTGACCCAGGACCTTCATTACGAGAACTTCCGTTCTGAGAGGCTCAAAAGAGGCGGCAGGTCACTACTTAAGTCAGACTATCCCTCTCTGTCCACATTTTCACCCCAAGTTACACTGCTGTCCCCCTGTATGTGCCTAGCTCTTCTTTCTTGACCTCGAAGCAACATGATTTGGTTTCCTTCTCGAGCTATTCTAAGTTATTTGTTGGTAATTTAATCAAATTGTGCCCTTTTTAGCCTGTTAAAAGCAGCTTTAATCATCTGCATGAACAGAACAGCTTTAGATGGAAAGACCGGAGACGTGTTGGGTGCCTTCTTAAGTGTCAGTCTGTCTGTAAATGAGGACAGACTCACCTGCCATTAAGAAAGTGCAGTGCACCCACTAAGGTTAGGGTTGGGAGCAGCAGGTCTACTCCTCAGAAACGCACATGGCCGCCCTCACTCGACTCTTCCGTTTTCCCATCCTGATGGGTTTTCATTTGAGACCTAATACACACCTGATAAAACTACATGTACGCATAGAACTTAATAAATAAGTGATACACGTCATTCATGAAAAGAATTTTCTGTTATAGTTCACTGAAATACACTGTAAGATGTGGTGGATCTGTGCATATGTATACAAGGTGTACATTGAAGTTTGCTTTATTCTTACGTGGTGACTAGACATTAAGAAAGGTAGAGGCAACAAGGAGATCCCACTGAGGAGCAGACAAGCATGCAGTGGCCCGGGCCAGCCTCGCGCGTGAGAAGCTGTGTCCTCATGAGCTGGGGCCTCTGTCCTCCCCCCTCTGCTTAGACCGAGAGCCTGTTCCTTAGGTTCAGTGTGATGGTCAGTCCGTGTTCATAAAGAATAACTCAGAAGAGAGTGTTCTTGAGAAAGGAGCTTCTGTATTTTGAGTAGGTAAAGTCGGGCGTGTCACCCCAGCTCAGTTTCTCTTGAATTTTCCATCTCATGTTCTTTCACCCTTATTTCTTCATGTCGTTAGAAAAGTGATAAGTATGTGTAATTCTAAGTAGATGCGTTTCTCAGAAACAAAGTGTAATGGTATTTTGGTTACCTGTCATCAGTTAACCAACTTACATTTGTTGCAGTGTCATAATTGTAATTCCTTCCAACTCACAGGAAAGTGGAAAACGACGACGTGAATAAAGACCAGATCTTGCTGGAGAAGGAAGCTGAGGTGAGTTGGGGAGTCTGACGCTGCTCAGCTTACATCAGAGAATACTGCTCATAACCAGCTTATTGCAGTTTTCCTCATTTTTAAGAAGGAACATATTTCACGTAGCTAATGTGCTTTATACACAGCTCTACGTAACAACGTGCCTCTTGTTTTACATGTATTATCTCACCTCCAGTAGCAACTTAATGAAAAAACTTGGAAGCAGTGAGAAATTAGTAACATGACTAATCTTGTAATATGTTCACAGATCTGCTTTCCTGTACATCAGTAATAACTGATCAGAAAATACAGTGAGATACTGCCATTCACAAACCATTAGCAAAAACTCACAAAGAAATATGTAGGACTGATATGGGGAAAGAAACTAGAAAACGGACCATTTTCAAAAACTTAAGAGAGACAATTTTATAGGATGCTGACTACAAGGATCATAATTTTGTTTAAATTAATCTCTAAATGTAATGTGATTCCAGCAGAGTTGGGTGTACTTGCCAAGTTTTTACTTTGAGGGGAGAGGTTGATAAGATAATTGTAATGTTTGTTTTGAAGACTAAGCAGGGGAAACACAGGAAGCTGTGGGAAATGGACTAACGAGAAGAGGCTGGCTTTGCTGGTTATGGAGAGTCAGAGCGGCAGTCACCCTGAGAGATTGGTCCAAGTGTGGGGGCTGACTCAGTGCATGTCAGGAGCTAGGTTGGAAGGGTAGGATTGTGCTCTGACTGAGCTGCTGTGAGATCTGTAGAGTTGTGGAGTCCAGACGTACTCAGTAAATAATCCAGGACAGGCAGCCTTTTGGAAACGAAAAATAAGGCTGGTTTCTTTGGCCAAATTAATCCAATATAGAGCTAATATTTAGATGTTTAAGACATAACCAAGCCCTGACTGGTGTGGCTCAGCTGGTTAGGCAACATCCTGCCCACCAAAAGGTTACCCGTTCAGTTTTCAGGGCACATGCCCAGGCTTTGGCTCCAACCCTGGTAGTGGGTGTGTAGGAGACAGCCAGTCGATGTTTTGCTCTCACGTCGTTTCTCTCTCTCCTCCCTTTCTCTCTCCAAAGAAATCAATAAAAATACTTCTAAAAAAAGAAAATGTTACCTGAAGGAATTTTAGGTGTAAATGTTTTAAAATTCTTGCAAATCGAGGTCTTTTCAGCACATAGAAACCACAGTGGTAGAATGGATAGGGCTATCGGGACTCACATTCTCCACTGGGTAGCCTCAGTCTCTTTCCCACCTTTTAGGCTTAAAAAACCTCTCCTCTCATCTTTATTTCTGTTTGTTAATCATTTCTGTTTCATAGTTGAATCACATATTATTATTTGCTCAGTTTTCTGTTGAGTAGTTACTCGTTTTACTGTTTTGTAAGAGGTTTTTTGGTTAACTCTTTGTCCTGTGTTGAGAAAGCATACAAGTGATGCCCCCCAGGACACCCATAAAGAATAAGGGACAGCCCAGCTGGGCGTGGCTCAGCGGTTGAGCATTGACCTAGGATCCAGGAGATTGGGGTTCGATTCCTGGTCAGGGCACATGCCCGGGTTGCGGGCAGCAGCCGATCAGTGACTCTCTCATAATTGATATTTCTCTCTCTCTCTCTCCCTTCCTCTCTCTGAAATCAATAAAGATATATTTTTAAAAAAGAAAAAAAAAAAAGAATAAGGGACAGCCTGGCCAGCGTGGCTCAGCAGTTGAGCATCAGCCTAGGATGCAGGAGGTCTGGGTTCCATTCCCAGTTGAGGCACATGCCCAGGTTGCGGGCTCAATCCCCCGTTCTTGGGCGTGCCGGAGGGAGCCCATCAGTGACCTCTCTCATCATTGATGTTTCTGTTTCTCTCCCGCTTTCCCTTCCTTTCCCTGAAATCAATAAAAACATTAAAAAAAAGGATAGCGACCTTGCACCCAGTGACGTGTCCCTGTCTTGTGCCCACAGCTCCGCCGCATGCAGGAGATGATCGCCAGGATGCAGGCACAGATGCAGCTGCAGATGCAGGGCGGAGACGGGGACGGCACGGTTCATGGGCACCACGTGTGAGGTAGTGAGCCTGGGAGTAGCTTTGTTACTAATTCTGCCCGCACGTGAGGGCGGGTGCTGCTGCCTCCTCAAGCCTTATGTTTGGTGTGTGGAAGCTCTGTCGTTGCTGGCCTCAAGGAGAAGGGAACCACTACCTCTCCTGTCTAGGAAAGACTTTTTCTGTTTTCTAAGCTTACAAAGATATTTAACAATAGAGGAAAACCGGTATATTAAAGTAACTTTTATTAGTTAGGGTTGTAAGTTCATTAAAGCTGAAAACATTTCTTCAAAGAGAATTTTTAAAGTGTTTAACAGCTTATGCAGGCCAAAAACAAAGTTGGCAAGACAGGTGAATTACGCCAGGTGGGCAGGGTTACCCTGACAGAGGTTGCTAGCCTCCCTGTTCTCACCACAGCTCTGCTCCAACCCATGGTCACTGTGAATCACTGTGTCCTGTGGACAGGTGGGCATTCAGAGCTGTTTAGTGGCTGCTGCTGCATCACCCTGAGAGAAAGGAGATAGTCACGTGGAGTTGGATGGAGGCAATTGCTGTCCTTAGAAGAGAGACAACACAGTCTGAGCTGGCCCAGGTCTGGGAGAGAAGTGACGTGGCAGGGAGAGTGCAGGCATCTGCAGTGCACTTTAGGGACCTCCCTGTAGAGGTGTGAGGGCGTTGATGAAAAGAGGGAGGAATGTGATGACAGGAGTGACGGACTTAGGTGATACATTGCAGAATTGATAAGATAGAAGGCAAGAAGCCCAGAGTCCACCTGTCAGAATCCTCCATGACAGACGGACAGGTAATGAAAGATGGACCTAGAGGAGCATACTGGGGGCAGTGGTCACCAAATAGGGCTCCTGCCCTCATGTGGCTCATTGGGTCTACTTTAGGTATATAAAACTGATTTATAGTTTTGTTTCTTTTCAGTTTTGCAGTCCTCCCAATTTCCCAGAGCCTCATAAATGATGTTTTGATTTTGCTAACTCTGTGGTCAAATGAGGCCAACCACCTTCTGCTCAATGTGTGTTCTTTGTTATACAGAAAAATAATGCTGTTAAAGTTGATGGTCAAAGCAGCGAGCATTGCATCCCTCCCATTTAAATGTGTTGTGTTTTGTTTTTCCAGAAAACACTTTGCAAGATAAAACATTCCGGAGGAGTAAAACAGCTCTGTGTTTTCAAGAAATTGTTGGAGAGGTGACCATCCACATCTTACAGTGCCTGTGGCCCAAGAATTTAATTTTTTAAAAATCTTTTGATGTGTTCTTTTATATGAAGTGCTTTTAGCATTTGTATTCATTACTAGGGTAGACTTTATAGTTTGTGCGTGAACTTTGCATTTTCTTCCACTAACCAACCACAAATGTTAGAATGGATTTCCAGGGCTCAGTCAGCTAACACGGTGTGGCTGGTCGTGGAGGAGCACTCTTGATTTGTTTCTAGAACATTCATATTTTCCCCGGATGTTCCTGAGTGGTATAGAGACATGGACCTAGTGACATAGAAGGTACAGCAGGGCCTTTTACTTAACCTGAGCACCACGTGGAGGTGCTTCCCTGCCTTGCTTCTGTTTGAGCACAACACCTAAGACCAGTATTGCTGCTACGATACAGCACCGTTAACTCACTTGTTCCTAAGTGAAAAAGTGGAATTATCTAATGAGATATATCCTTATACTTAAATAGCTTCCTTTTAAAAACAGGCTTTTAGGGGTAAATTTTAGAAGTTTCAGGATTCTTATACTAGGTCATTTTTTAAACCACTGGGCAGAGAGAACTTGCCACAGCCACTTTTTGTAGTGTTCTCACTAATACTGGTTGTACTCTGCTATGGAAAAAGAGTACCCATAGCTCCAGTTTTCGTATTGCAACTAAGATTCTTACCAACACAATGAGAGTTGGTAAACTCTTTTTACTCCACTAAATTAAAAAACAACTTTTCCAGGAATATTAGCAGTTGATCTCTTCAGAAACTGACCTTTTGTATTTTTATACTGCACTTTAATATATTTCTGTAACTGCAGGTGTAGAAGATCTGCCTCAGGAGTGGAAATTGGGATCCTTTGGTGGGTGGGTACCAAACCCAGACCTGTCACAGGCCCTGAGGTCTCAGCCCCATGAAGCAAAGTGCCATTCGGGTTTTCCTGATTTGACTTTCCTTTGTTTCTTTTTTTAATGACTTTCTGTTGGGAGGCAAATTGCAGTGCTCATTTTTTTATGTGCACACTCTCTCGCCTGTTCACGGCCATCGCCGTTTCCTTCATTGTGTGTCACACAAATCTCCCCATCAATCGTGTAAGCAAAGAGCATTTCACATGTACACGTGGGCTGGCTGCAGGTGCTGCCAGTCAGAGCGGCTTCAGGGGGTTTCCTGTGCTCTGTGGCCTTGACCCTTCCCTTCCCTCCTGGCATGTCTCCATCCCTCACTGTCTGGCACGCACTCAGAGGGTGCTGATGCTCCAGGGCCTGCTTTTTTCCTACATTTCTTCTGAAGTTGAGAAAGTGACAGATGAAAGGAGATCTGGAGGGAGCAGGTGCTCGTTCACTATTTTCATTTTGCTCTTAACAGGAGGGGTTAAAATAAAGAAAATGCTTTATCCGAGGATGGAGGAGAGTTTGTTGTTTTGGCCAAAAAATAACATGTCAAAATGTTAGTTACAGAAGTGTGCTACAGAACTTGACCCCTCACGGTTAGCAGTTGTGGAAGTTCAGAAGCTTTAGGTTTAGGCACATTGTGCAAAGTTTTTAACAGAAAGTGTTCCATGGTTTGAGAGTACCTCCAAGGCCAATTACTTGGGTTATTTTGGCATTTATTAACTGCTGGTAAAAGCTGTGTAAAGGGAGGCAGGGGGACATTTGCAAGTGGTCTGTGTAAGTCCTGTGTGTATGAATAAAACTCCTTGGGGCTGGCTGCCCCCTAGTAATGGTTATGTGGGATGAGTGGACCTACAGCTTTACACTTTTAAATCTTTTTTTCTTTTGTGCCCAAGCCTAAATAGTTTTGCTAATTTTTTTTTACTAAGCAATACTCTTTACCTATAGAAACGTACTTTGAAAACATTTTACACAGCCATTTTATATCCATTGAAACTAACCTTTCATCAATAAAGTACTATTGTTTGGAGGTTAAAGAGAGTATTTCTCATTATTGGTTCTTTCCTAGGGAAAGGGGTCAGGTCTTCTGGGAAAGGTTCAAAGCCCTTCAAACGTGTCTAAAGTCAGGTTATTTGCACCAATAGCATCAGCACCCAACAACTTTGTTTTGGCGATCCCATCCCAAAGGAAAGGCCCATAAAGACTGGAAAGGAATTATTTACAGGTGACCCGATCACTTAAAGTGAAAGCATGTCTGAAAAAAATTAGCACTAGTAAGAGTTCAATGATGTTGACTCACTAGTAAGGAATTTTACTAGCGCTCTGGCCGGGTAGTGCAGTTGTTAGAGCATCCTCCTGATGCGCGGGGGCTGCAGGCTTGATTCTTGGTCGGGGTAGTGCAAAAGTCAACCAATGAATGCATCAGTCAGTGGGACAACTAATCGATGTTTCTCTAAAGTCAAAAAGGTTTTAAAGATTTTTAGTGGGAAAAGATCTCACTGGCAGCAGCTACAAATACCTGGAATGACAAATAGAAGAAATACGTTACTAAATATTACTAAGATCGGTAAGGAAAGTGCTCTACAATTAGAAATTTTTAAGACAATGGCCTGTAAGGCTGATGCGGAAGTCTGGAGCCCCCCTGCCCACGCCGCGGACCACCCGGGACAGCCTGGACTCCCTTCCATCCCTGGGCGGTGAAGCTCCCTGCAGCGCCTTGCGGTCCCCATGCCCTGCGCTCCGCTGCCTCCTGCCCGTCCCCGCAATCGCCAGCAGCCCCGCGGGGTACCCGGTCCCCTGACCGGGCTCCAGGTCGCCGTCCCCCTGGCGCTGTGCACCTGTCGGGGGCCTAACGGTAGCTTTGCGTCACCCTGGGGGCAGCTAGGAGAGCTGCTCGGTCCTGGCGCGGGGGCGGGCGGTGGTGTGGCCGGGGCCGATGTAAATCCCGAGGGGCGGCGCAGGGCTTGGGGGACAGGAGGGAGGGGTCTCTTCCCAGCTTGGGACGTGAGGCCGCCCTACTGGGAGTGGCACCTACTCCCACCTGGGCTTTTGGGAAACGGGCCGGGCGTGCCTCGGGTCGGGAGCACTGGAGAAGTCTCCTGGAGGACGACCCCAGTCGGTTTTGGGTTAACCTCGGCGGCCTTGGCCTGTGCGGCCGCTGGGAGCAGAACCACACCCAGTTCGGAGGGCGCGTGGCTCACCGAGGCCCTGGAAAGACAAGGGGCGTGTGCTCCTGCCAGCCGGGAGGGGGCGTCGGTGTCGCGTTTCTGTGGCCGGACGGGGTCGCGAAGCTGGAGGGGTCAGAAGGCTGAAGGGCGCGGGCCTCCGAGGGCGTCGCGGCTCCTTCGCATCACAGCCTCGGGCTGAGCTCGGTGCCCTTAGGCCGAGGATTGCGACGGGTGGAGCTTAAGAAGAAGGGTGGCTGGCACCCGGGGCAGCGGAGGGAGCCCTA